CCTTGCTAACCATGAAGGCGTGCTTCGAAAGCTGCTCTCAATAACATTCCAGGTCTCTCTTCCCTGTCAGAACAACAAGCCTGCATCAGTGGCCTCCCTCCCTGCTTTACTGAGTGGCTCAGTTCCATGTTTTGCTGCTGATCCAGGTGCCCAGGCAAACAACTCTGGGCTAAGAAGCATGCAGGAGAGAGTAAAAATAGAACAGCAGCCTGGACGCATACCAGAACAGCTACTTCATCCCCACGCGCTTAGCACACTAAGCCTGATGGGACCCATCAGGCAGGAGTCCTCTCGTGCTCACCTTCTCCCCTCCTCCCCCTCCCTCCCTCCCTCCCTCCCTCCCTCCCACCTCCTTCTTCCCTCCCTTCCTCCCTCCCCAGCTGCCTTCTTCCATCAGCACCTTCCCAGTGAAGGGAGCAAAGGGAGGTCAGACATGGGACAAGAAAGATGTGCCCCAGTGGTTTCAGCTTACAAGCCCTAAGAGATCTGGGGGCCATGATTATGCCTTCCTCACAAGACTTTCTAGAAAAGGGTGAGCCTCTGCCCAGCTGCACGTCCATGCTTCTCATCTCATTGTTTATTGGTCTCAACACTTCCTAAACCATAAACGTGATCTGGGACCACACCCAGACATCTCCTGAGAAGGTAAATACAAAAGGCAGCTACACTCACCATTCCTTCTGCAGATCCCACCTGCTTGGCTTGATGCTAAGAGCTTGTGAGCAAACACAGTCACGCTGGAGAGGCACTGATGCTACTCACCATGTGTTCTGAGTCTGAAACCACTTTTCAAGGGGGGAAAAAATGAAAGAGTTGGTATGAAGTTAGGAACGTGCTATCGCTGGGATGCAGGTCTTCCAGAATGCTAACTATACTAATTGGATTCTTTCGTGCTGTTTTACGCCTCTTGATGAACTGTACCGTTCCTGTGACAGCCCTGCCCCCACACCTCCCAAGGGCACTTACCAGGCATTTCTCATTTTTTTTCAAGTACCACTTTCGTAGCATCAGAAAAATGCAAGAAAGAGGAATTTCACAGTATTTAAGAGTAAAAGACATTTTAAAAAATACTGAATTTTGAGAGCATGCGTGTGCACATGCACACACACACACAGAGAGAGAGAGAGGGAGGGGGGAGTTTAAAAGAAATTGATCTAATTGCAGACTTTTGTCTTCAAGCTTCAAGAAGGTTTTGAGGAATTTTAAGTTGGCCTAGGGTTCATATAAAACCACTACAAACTAAGTATGCCAAACCATGTCAAGAAAAGCCACATGCCACATCATCACGGCAATAATTAATTCCCTGAGGAGATTTTCCCAGCACAAGTTGTGACTTGATCATTTACTCTCCCAGCCAGCAGAGGATAGAGGCAATCTTCCCTCAGTCCTCCCATGTTCAGGAGGTTGTGTTTACCTCAGGGAGGAACTCTGTCACTGTAGATAACCCCAGGAAACCCCAGAAGGTTCCACAGGCTTGCCAGCCTTGAAGCTAGATCACCAGGTCTGTGCTCTGGAGTGAACTTGGACAAGTCAATTTCTTTGGATCCTGCTTCCTTCTGGCATAAAACAAAGCCCAGGGTCCCTTTCAGACTGAAAATTCCATGACAGAAATGTTACTTTAAAATGTCATTATTCTGCTGCTTCTTTTTGTTTGTTGTCAGGTTGTCTCCTGTAGAGTTATGCGTGCTAGAAAACAGCACAAGATTCTCTGACGAGAGGTGTGGCTTCTTTGTAGTATTTTCCCAAAGTGTAATTTACCTTCTCATCTCATCTGCTATTAGGAGAGGGTCTTCCAGATTCTTCTAGGCATATTAAAGAGAAACAGAAAGATCTTGTGGTTTAAAAGACTCTCATTTCAGTCATCACGGGATCATTTCAGTGATCACGGGACTTTGCAATCCATCGGGCAAAGATGGGGCGGGGTGTGGTGCTCGATGAGATAGCTGGGGTTAGGGAAAATGCTCTTGGCAAAACATCCCAAACACGGATGCAAAGTTCAAACTGGAGAACGTGTAGCCCCTGTTGAGATGACTGAGAAAAAGTCAAGTCTTCACAGGGCTGATTTGTTTAAGAAGGAAGGAGGAACAGAGTAATAACTACAGCAACGATTCTTCTGATCTGAGCTGAGAGAAACACAGCCCGATACTTTGATTGCATCTCCATGCCAAGACATTTTTGAACTCTATAGAAGTTAAATTAGACAGGCAAGTGTTTTGAAGACAGTCACTGAAATTAAAACTAGCCACTAAATACCAGAAAATAATCTGAGTCTATACCCAGCACACCTGACCCAAATCAGCTTGTTATGACTAACACCAGGGGTTGCCAGGTTATTTTTGCCAAGTCAGCTATATCTAATTCCTACCCTCAAAATATCCACAAATAGATACACAAGGATAATGTTTAAATAAACCAGGTGTTAATCTGTGTATCAGTGTTCTAAAATAATCGTAAAAATTCCTTTGCTGGTGGTGGCTATCAGATTTCAGATACTTCAGAGCCAAGTTGTCAACTCTAGGTATGAGCACGAACACACACACACACACATACACACACACACACACACACAAACACACACATACACACACATACACATACACACACATACTCACACACATACACACACATACACACACATACACACATACACACACTCACACATATACACACACATACACACATATACACACATACACACACACACACACATACTGAGGGTGTTGTTTGGTTTTTTGACTGGTTTACATTTTTTTGTTTTTTTTTTTACACAGACTGCTACCAGTCCTTTAAGGACTGTTTGTGGCACATGAGGGACCTTTCTCTTAATCACCTGGGATAGAAGGAACTAGTTACTGAATGCTCTGGAAAAGTTTCTTGAGGGGGGAGGGGTGCTAATAACATTACATTCTAAATCTTTGCAAACTGGGAACATTTCAAAGCAATAATTGCTGGGCTATTTCTGCAGATGTGGAATCCTCAATAATAATCTTACCTCAAACTGAAACAATAACGAGAAGAGAAAAAAAGACTGAAGTTTGAAATCCTTTCCAGGAACTCAGAGTTGGCCAAACAAGAAAATCCTACTAGGTCTCAAGTGCCACAAAAGTAATTATTATTTCCATAAGGTCATACAAACAAGCACTTAAATTATGCTAGTCTTTTTCCTATTTAAAAGCACTCACTCAATGTATATGTTGGTCATAAAGTAAATCAAACTATATTCTTCATAACTCATTAGCAACTTTTCTTATTTGTACTTGAAATTATTTGTCTTCTCTACAGTGACATTTGAGGGATGACTATCTCGTAGCAAAGTTAAACTTGTTTGCTAAGTTAGGCAAAGAAAGGAAGCAGCAGCTCTCACTGCCCAGGCATCTTTTTATTGACCTATTGGGTCACAGCGCATCTTTTTCCTTGTGCAAGAGTTTATTTAGATCACACACACACACATTTTCTAAATATCTATGTGTTGTTTCTTGGAGATCTAATAAGCCCAAATTATTGATTGGGCGTATTGTTAAGAACATTTTTAAAAGAAGGAACTATCTCATGAGACAAGGAGGGCTGGGGGTGTGCCTCAGTGTTAGAGCAGCCAGGGCCTAGATTCAATCTCCAGCACTGGGGTTGGGGAGGGGCAAGTTTTGTCAGATACATTGATGCATGACTATGATCCCGATACTCAGGTGCAGAGGCAGCAGGATTACAGGTTACAAGCCAGCCTGGGCTAAGCAGTTAGGGCAGCCTGAACTGTCCAGTAAGACTCTTCTCCAAATAAGTCAGTAAAAACCATTGAGGTCTATTTTTTTGTTATTATGAATCAGTTGGTTTTCTGCTTTTAAAAAACTGGTTACGTTTAAATTAAGAAAGAGAATATATCCAGGTGTGGTGGTTTGAACAAGAATGGCTCCAAATTCATATCTGTGACTGGTTCTCAGCTGGTGGACTGTTCAGGAAGGGTTAGGAGGTGTGGTCTTATTGGAGGAGGTGTGTCACCGCAGGTGTGCTTTGAGGTTTCAAAAGCCAATGCCAGGCTCTCTCCCTCCCCCTCCCCCTCTCCCCTTATCTCCATCTTTCTGAGAAGATGTGAGCTGGAAGCTACTACACCAGCACCATGCCTGCCTACCTGCTGCCACATTCCCTGTCATGATAACCATGGACTAAACTTCTGAAACTAAGCAAGCCCCTAATTAAATGCTTTCTTTTAAACACAGTAATAAAATAGTAACTGATACACTGGGTATGCTGGTATTCACCTATAATCTCAGCACTTGGAGGGCCAAGACAGGAGGATGACTGTAAGTTCAAGGCCATCATCTTACTGTATATACTGAATTCTGGGCCATCCAGAACTACATGGTAAGACTCCAGAAAACAAAACCGAACAGAACAGAACAGAAATAAAAAGTACAATTAGATTTATCTCCTGGGAGGTGTGACTATAAAAAATAAACACTGTTACTTCTCTAAAGAGAATTTGGTGTTTAAGGCCCAGATTTCAGACCTTCTAGGTTCATGAGAAATACCTTGCTCCATATGATTTTACAAGTCTCCCAAGCCCCAGAAAAGCGAAATGACTTGCTTAGTCACAGAGGTACTCAGGAGTGGGACAAAGATTAGACAACCAGACCATGACTCTGGCCTATGTGACATAGCCCCAGTAGTTCATGCATCTACTCAGATATGTTCACCCAAATGGCCAGGCCAGATCTTTTTGTCTTCTTGAAGGGCTGGGAGTTGAAGTTTGAACTTCTACATGCTAAGCAAGTGTTCTACCACTGAGCTACACTCGCCGCCCACTCACACTGTTCACAGTCAGGATTGCTTTGTTCAAAGCCTCAACTGCAAGAGAAAGCCTTTCGCATTAAAAGGGTGTGTAACTTTCTGGTTTTAATCCTTTAGTACAGAGAACGCTGTCACATATATCTACTACTATGTCTGAGTAGCTCCGTTGATGTCCCAGAGCTGCCGGTTTCAGTATAAAGGAATATGCACACCGCCCCTGAGATAAACACGTTCTTACAAAGAATAATCATTTTATTATTTGAGCATGATTCAGATTGGTCTATGGACACAGAACATCTGGCCGACTCATAAAAGTAGCTGAAGTGATGAGGGACTTTGTGGTCATAGGCGTTTGCTGCTGGCACCTGTAGTATTGACTCACTGAAGCACTGGAAGCCCAGCAAGGACAGCTCAGACTCAGGAGACAGGGAACTCTGTAGAAGAGGTGTTCCGGGGTCTGAGTGCCACCAACCAGCTCTGCTGGAAGAATGCTGTGAGAACAGGCTGGCACTGAGCTGGAGATGGCTGTCGTCACAAGGGTACCACCTGAAGGGTGGGCAGAGGGCCTCGGGGAGGAGCCACGTACTCTTCCTCTCGGAGCAGCCGCAGCAGGATGTTTTTCTTATTCTTGGGCCAGCTATAAACATGAGTGTTCTGAAGCCAGGTCGGCACATGCTCCTGTGGAAGAGAGGACAGAAAGGTCATGGGAGGGAGGGAAGCCTGGATTCCAGACCCAGGGCTCAGTTCTGAACAGCGCTGGATGGCCCCCACAGGTGTTCCCACCGGGCTGTCTTGGGAGTGCTGTTTTGCTTTTGGAGGGTTTAACACGCGAAGCGCTTTTGGCTTCGGGTGCAAGCTGTGTATCTCATTATGGAAACCACATGTGTGCCGCGTTTTCTGTCAGTCTCCAGGCTACCTGCCCTTTGCATGCCATGTGCTTTTCACCACCTCACTTGAAAGGGGTAGGACTGAGGTCACACTGAGTGATGTGAATTCCCCTGTGGCTTTAGGGGAAGGACGCCAGAGCCGTGGGCTTAATCTAATTCATGATTCTTTCACTCCAAAGTCAGCTCTGGTCTGAAGAGGAAGGAGCAGAACAGAGCTCAGAGCCATGAGGCTGGGCTTCCACAGGCCACTTTTGTTCACCCTCAGGACAGCCCTCAGGACCGTCCATGTGGAGCACACATTCTGGTGAAGAGAGACCATGACAATCTCAGCAGACACGCAGAAACGAAACGTGAAATGCTACTATCGGAGGAGGCATTCACAGCACCCAGGAAGATGCTGCAGAAAAGCCTCACAGTGATGGAAGTTGCTAGGCATGCATGTTCAAAAGCAACAGCACCGCGGTGTCCAGACACAGCAGACACGAGCGGACAGGTGAAGGGGGCCAGAATTCTAGGGCTGTATCACACAAGGCTTCATTGTGAGAAGAGCTGCCTTGGGGACGGTAGCACAAGTTCACAGTTGGCACTTGTGTTGAGTGCAGAAGATAAGCCATTAAAAGGACACAATTGTCTTGAGGAGTCAAGATCTCACAGAGAGGCAATAATCAGCATAAACTATTTTCTAGGTCATAGTATAGCCAGTAACCAGCATGTCCCAAGCTCTGGCCATAAGGAGAGACTGTCAAGTAGAATTTTAAAACAATACTAAATCCATATATATTTATATATATATATATATATGGCATATGTATGCATTCATTCATCCATGTATATCTATGCATATATATTGCATTATGTATTCATCCATGCATACATATACATATATACATATATGCCAATGAATCTAAGCAATTAATCCCAGTGACCCTAAAATGCACCATTGATTCAAAGTACTGTAATTAATCGAAGCTCTCAGGAAAGGGACAATGCTTTACATAGGCCTGAGGGGAAGGAGAACCTCACAGGCTGGAGAGGTTGCAAGAGTTCAAGGATAAGCAAGAGTTTACTAGGCTAACAAATTGGGAAAGACCATTTTAAGGAAAGGGAATAGAGGGGCAAAGACCCTAGACAGGAAGAACATGAGTGGGGTTTGCTGACATGGCCCCATTATGACCAAAGCTTAGGGACCCAGATGACAAGAAAGGAGAATGAATAAGCAGACACAGTGCTGTTCCAAAGAGTCTCATGTGTCATGCTAAGGAAGTCGGTGGGAAATGTCACAGAATTGTAAAAGTAGAGAGACAGAGATTGGAATTCTTTGCTGGCAAAGCAGAAGGTGGGTATAGAGTCCGGAGGAAGGGGAGACCAGTAAAGACATTTGCCAGTCAAAAACTGCATTTAGTCCCTGACAAGCCAGGGCCAGCAAGGAGGAGGGGTCCTTTCATATGCATCGTGCACTGCCCAGCCTTATACATCTGGTCCACGTAGACTGGTGTCTTAGTTTGGGTTTCCATTGCTATGAAGAGACATTCTGACCAAAGCAACTCATAAAGGCAAACATTTAATCTGGGCTGGTTTACCATCATAGCAGGAAGCATGGCAGCATGCAGGCAGACATGGTGCTTGAGAAGAAGCTGAGAGTTCTGCATCTTGATTTGAAAGCAACCAGGAGAGACTCTTCTAGGCAGCCAGGACAAGGATCTCAAAGCCTCCCCACCCGCAGTGACACACTTTCTCCCACAAAGGACGGACATACCTACTCCAATAAGGCCACACCTAATATTGTCACTTCCCATGGCCAAGCAAGTTCAAACCACCACAATGCGGCTCTCCCTCATGCCTAGTAGAGGTTCCAGTGCAGTCCTAACATCTGGGAGTCCTCTGGAATGAGGCTGCACCCAAGCTCCGACTGCTCTGGTCTGAGTCTCAAGCTGTTTACGTAGCTTCTGTCTCCCTTTTGCCAGGCCTGGAACATTCTCTGGCCTGGAACGTTCTCTGATGGCTTGGCTCGTATTCTCTAAGGCTGTCAGCACACCCTTGGGAATATGATAGAAACCCTCATGTGAACCCCAGCCAGGTTCACCGAGAGAGCTGTGGGGATTCAGTGCCTGCATTCTATCGTTGTGAAGGTTTAACTGTATGCACCAAAATACTGATGTGGAGCAGAAAGCAAAGTGTCCGTCCACACTTTGGCTTTAACATGTGCGAGGTAAGAAGCATTAGATTGTAGGACTGTGAAAGCTAATCTGGTTTCTGGTCGAATCCAGGTTGGAAACTGCCAGAGACCCCAGGTGATCCTGAGGGGCCCCAGGTGGGACACAGGTAACCCTAAGAGATGGCATGCGTTTTGCCACATTCCCAGACTCCAGGCTCCTGACACGAAGCCAGAGCCTCAAGACAGATCTCCATATTAATGAGGTACCTAAAGGACAGAGGGCATAGCCAATTAAGCATTCCTTCCCAGACCCTCCTCCCTGCAAGAGGTATTTAACCTCAGGGTAAACTGAAGGGTGAACTGGGGTAAACTTTTCATCTACTTTCTGCCATGACAATAAACATCTTAAGACCATGGACTGTTTCTCTTCTTTGAAATTCACTGTGGGGAACAGTGGAGCAGGCCTTCATCCACAGAGCCTAATCTCCTGCAGAACTCTCTGCGTTCCCAGCCACAGAGACCACCAACCCAGGCAAGCAAGCCGAGCCAGCTGTGACCAAGCCAAGCAAGCCACTGAGACCAAGAACTCTCATCTCCTTCTTCCCTACGGCTGCGTGCCAGTCCAGCCCAAATCACCTCACACGGCACCCCCAGTGGCACTGAGGAGGGGGGTCCAAGAGCCTGAAAACCAGCTGGTCTGAGGCCGCCTTTTGGCCCCAAGCCAAGAGCTCCAGCTCCCTGTGGGACCTCAGAGTGTGTTCCCTCCACCCCTGAGTGGGGTCCTGTGGCTGCACAGTCAACTTCCCGTTTCCTGCTTCTGTCCACCATGAGCTGCCCTAGCCCCGTGGAGGGGGGGAGGGGTTGGAGCGCAGAGGGAGGCAGACGCCAGACCCACACATCAACCCACAATTTAACCTAGCATTAGATGATAAATGTCCTCATATTCTTGGGCATTTGCATACTTGATCTCCAGTTGGTGATGCTGTTTGGGGAGGCCCGGGAGGTATGGGCTGGCTGAAGGAAGTATGTTACTTGAAGAGGGCTTTGGGGTTTCAAAAGCCACACTCTTCTCATTTGTCATTCGAGATGTGAGCCCTCAGCTCAGTTTCCAGCTGTATATGCCATGCTTGTCTGCTGCCACCCTTCCCTGGCATGATGGAGATGCATCTTCTCCCTCTACAGTCACAAGCCCAGATGAACCCTTCCTTCGGTAAGTTGCCTTGCTCATGGTGCTTTATCACAGCAACAGAAAAGTAACTAACTATGCAGAAACCATTCTTTCGTGTACACAGACAGAGAAATTAGGACAGCCATGGTCCTACCCAATAACACTTGCAGACAGCTCAGAGCCCAGTGCACCTAAAACCTGTTGATCTTTCTGGTAACACTGTTATCTCTTAGGGCTGTCAAAGAGTTGACAAGATTTTTAACCTAAAATCCCAGGTAGTTATCAAACCAGACTTGAAAACAAGGATAGAATGGTTGAGGGCTGCTGTTTGTCTACTTACCTTCTTGGCGTTTGGGAAGAGCACAGGTATGAATCTGAAGTTCATGCTTCCCTGATTTATGAACTCAATCTGCATCTAAAACCAAACAAAAATGAAGACTCAATCCAGGATCAAAGATGAGTTGATGTGCCAACAACACTACCAGCACACATGGTGACTTTGAGTGCCATATTACTTACAATTTTAAGCTTTCTCCATGACATATTACACTGCTTTTCTTGTGTGGGCCACTATGATGGCTGTCATTGGCTGTCAACCTGGCTACATCTAGAATTAACTAAAAACTAAAAATGGGTGGGCACACCAGTGAGGGATTTTTGCTTAAGTAAACCATTCAAAGTGGGAAGATCCACTTCTCTTCCACATATTTTTGAAATGCAAAAACCCACCTCTGATCCAGGCCACACCTTGGGCTAGAAGCCTTTATAAATGGAAGAAGGAAGAAGCATCTCTCTTTGCCTGCTTGCTCTCACTCTGACTAGCACACCCATCCCTTCACTAGATTAGAGCCTGCTTCTTCAGGATTCCAGTATATACTGAAGACCAGCTGAGAAATCGGGCTTCATGGATTGAATAATTACTGGATCCTTGAACCTTTTGTGGTAGACAGCTATTGTTGGCCTAGCTGGACCAGAGCCTTTAAGCCTTTAAGCCATTCTAATAAATTCCCTTTCTCTTATACATACTCTCTCCAAATATATATATGGAGATGTGATGTATGTATGTGTGTGTGTATGTATGTATGTATGTATGTATGTATGTATGTATATGGAGAAAGTTCTATCCTTCTAGAAAACTCTGAGTAATACAGCCACTTACTGAAGACCTATTAAAATTCACTTTCTGGGGACCAGATAGCTGGCATAGTAGGTACAATTGTTTGCTGCCATGCCTGACAACCTAAGTTCTATCCCTGGAGCCCACATTGTGGAAAGAGAGAACTGACTCCTGCAAGTTCTCCTTTGATCTCCACTCTCTGTTTAGTGACAAATGTGTGTGTGTGTGTGTGTGTGTGTGTGTGTATACATATTGTTTGTTTTGAGTCAGGGTCTCACATGTAGCCTAGACTAGCCTGGAATTCACTACATAGCCCAGGTTAGGTTTGAACTCACAGCAGTCCTCCTTTGTCAGCCTCCTGAGTACTGATCTGAGTTTTAAAGATTAGGAGTATGCAGAGGTTGGGTCACCTCAGTTCATAGGATCAGGCTATGTGTCTGTCTAGTCTACAACTTTATATTATCTGCTTTCAGTTGTCAAGGTCAGACTTCTACTATGGAAATGAGTAAAGGCTAAGACCTAGAGTTGTTTGTTTAGCAGGGCACCATTGATACAATTTGGGCAATCCTCCCAAAGCTATTGCTCTAGTGAGCAGGCAGGAAGGGAAATGGCTAACCAGAGGACATAGGAAGAGTGTGACACTCAAGATAGGGGCTATCTGTTCTGCTTTGGGGACTCTGGAGACAGGAACAGGAGAGGGATCCCTGGGCATGAAGAAGGGCCTGGTCAGGTAGATGAAAGTGGGGAGAAGGCGAGGCCAGAGGGCGTGAGAGCCTGGAGATGAGGACGTGTGCTAGTCTGACTGCAGCCACCTGGCAATCCACTTCTGGGGCACAGACAGTCCTGACAGAGGAGGCTAGACGTCAGCCATGAGGAGCCCACACTGTCAGGCCTGAGCTTCTCTCACCAGCTCAACCAGGCTTCAGACTCTGCTCATCCAAGAGGATTTACCTACAGGAACTCTAACAAAATCAGAGTTTTCAATACCGGAAGAGCTAAAGTTTTCTGGATCCCAAGGCCAGCAGGGAGCTTTCAGCCATCTGAGGCCAAGGATGATAGCGAGGAATTATGTATCCTGAACAATTTCATCCTCCAATGGATTTTTAGAACAGAACCTTTTGTTGTGTATGAAAACAAAAATGAGAGGGAAGTGAAGGTGGGGGTTTCAACAACCCCACCCCCACAGATTCACACAAGGCATCTACCACCGGGGTCTTCTCAGAGCCAGCTCCCTTCCAAACAGGAGATAACACCGAAGGCATACGCCACATATACAACTCAAGTACCAGCCGTGCCATCGCACCTGCAGTCAGGGGTGTGGGATCTGCTGAGTTAAAGTAGAGGGGGGTTTCATTCCAGCTTCAAGGGCAGTGCGGCTACTTGGTTTGTCTACGAGGCTCCCGCTCTGTCAAGGACGAGCCCTTAGCAGTATGTTTTTATTATCTCTCATACGTTCTTTTAGATACTGGCTTTCTAATGACATGGTTTGATTTGTGTAGTAATTACTCACTGGTGCCTGGAGAAGGCCAGGAAGTCAGCCTGGGAATAGGGGTATACTGATGGAACATGCAGTGCCTCTTGTGATGAGGAAAAGCCAAAGACATTACCAAGAAACCAAATTTGGAGACCACATGGCTATAGCTGGCACAGTCATTGGGTTGAACTGTGTGTATTACTGGCTGGCTTTTCCATATACCAGCACAACTAAACAGGTTTGTCCAGAAACTGGTAGGGACCTGGAGTCCTTCCCAAGTACCAGCTGCTGGTTCCTGGGACTAGCAGGTTCTTAGAGATGTAGACAGAATGTCGTTGTTCTGGGAATGTGCAGACATGATACAGACAGCTAAGGGATAGAAGCATCCCAAGTCAGTCACAACCTTCATAGATCAGTTTATTTCCAGAAATGCTATTTTTCAGACTCCACAGGCTGGCACTGAGTAACACTGGACAGGAGGCAGACTTAGCTTCTGACCCTTGGTCAGACCCTTGAATCTTACCACCTTACCTCAGCTTCCACTTTGGGTTGTAAACTCAAACAAGTGGTCCACGCTTGGTGGAAGAGGTGACGGAGATCTCAAAGACACAGATGATGCTTCCTGCTGTGTTGCTTACTTAGTCCTTGCAGGGAGACAATGTTACATGCTCATGCAGGATGAGAACTGAAGTTGAGCTTATGAGTTCAAGTCCAGTGATTTCCCTACTCTTTCTCGAATGTCAGAACCCTTGGTAAACAAGCCAGAGAAACCAGCTCTAGTTTGAGAGGCTCAGGGCTGCTCCTACCATCAGATATATAGATTCCACAGGACAGTTCGAAAGTCACAGGTCTAGTCTAGCTTCCTAGTTAAATAGAAATGGCTCCAAAGTATCTCTAAACCTACAAAGGACAAGATGACAAGGAATCCATAAGACAGCTAGTTCTGAAGCTGGATAATACCTTCTCTGAGTTGCTGAACAAGTTTGATTCCTTCTAAATTCTCCCATGGTTTAAGTGTAATCAGACCCCACGGCACAGGTTAACAGTACAATGTTTGCCACGAATCGCAAAGGAACAACAATCTCTTTGGTGTTCTGTGTGCTAAATGCTTTGAATATTACTTCCTTTATCTTCACAGCACTGTTTATATTAGTGATCCATGTTGTGAACAGGGTTGCAGAGGGGCCATGGTCACACAGCCTGTACTCAGGAAGGTGAGGTGACACATGCTTTTCTGGCATGACAGAAGTGTCCTTCCCACTTTGCACCTTGCCTCTCTGAAAAGGCAAGGAATGGAATGTAACAGCTACAGTACCCCACTCGTCCCACCACTCTAGCCCCTAAGACTTCACACTTGTTGGTAAATAGCCAAGCAAACAGAGCTCTACTTTCTAGAACTTTGATTGATATCTCTTAGTTACTATCAGGACCAGTTTGAGTGGTGGAGGAGTGGTGCTTCTCCATGGTTCTCAAAGTTCAAAGGATACAGAGCCATAGAAATAACTTCTCCTGGCACGGGAAGTCTCAGAGACTCCCCCTAACATCCTGTTACCCTGAATGAAGAAACAGCCCCCTAGAGAGGGTGCCTGTTCGAGAGGAGCAGCCAGGCCCGGTGGTCCGTCACTCACCATCCGATGAATGTACTTAGTGTGTAAGCCATGCTCGTCCTCGCCCAGCTGCGACTCAGCGCCTTCCACATCCTGTTTGTATTTGGGGCTGATTGCTACGATTATCATCACTGTCTTCTGTAATGAGAAGGAGAAAAGCGTGTTTATGGAAGCGGGAAGCGTGGTGGTTCATTGGTGAAGGCCAGCTGGAAACTGGCCAGCAAGACCATACGCAGTCCCTGACCTGCTGGCGGGAACAGGATCAGTCCCTCTCTCTATGAAAGCAAAAGGCACCAGCCCCCACACAGGCCTGCTGTCACCTCTACCCCTCCCCACTACCTCTGTGCCCAGCACCCTACAAACACCGGAGCAAACGGCTCAGAGAGGAATTCTCCAGCCATCCACAACCTTCTCTAATAAACATCTGATGAAATCCAAAATCACTGACTCTGCATGGAGGCACGGAAAAGCGCCCTTCCTCCCCGCAGCCTGATGTGAGCTGTCAGTCACCATGCTCCTCCACTGCCCTGCTTCTCCCGTGCACATTAGCACAGTCAGTAGGAGTAGACCCTTCAACACAAAGCAAACCCCAGGCTGCAGACAAAAGGAAAGCAGCAAAACCCAGCCTGCTGAGACTCCCACCCCACCCACTCCTGCCCAAAGAAGTACCCAGACTCAGACGTGCTGGCAGCAATCAATTTCTATCTTGTTAAAGCAGAGTGGCCCAGTGGCTAGTATAGATTCTGTCTGTGGAAAACAAATCACCAGGCTGCAAGTGGGTGCCCTGGGGTGGCATGCTACCTAACCCAGTCCTACAAAATGCTTGGGTTCTGCTGCCCACCCCACCCCCCGCCATCATTTCCTCCTTCCCCATTCTGGTCTAGAAATTGTTTGTGCTGATTGTTATCAAGCACCTGTGTCTGGTTTGACCGTTATTTCCTGCCTCTGCATGTCCAGGAGGGTGACCCCATCCTGCCTTTCCAAGTCTCTGTATAGCTTCCAACAAGAGACGCTTTGTCCAGGCTTCCAAGGGCTCAGACTTAGGGAGAGTATCAGTGTTTCTTCTGTGAAACAGCTTCACGAGCTATCTGTTTTTCTCAGCAGCACGCATCCTCAGAATTCTGGAATATACTTACATCTCGAAGGTACCGTTCCATCCATTTAATGATATCAATACCCCGGATTCGATCCTCAAATATGTCAATCTACAGAAAAGGATGCGCAAAAGGGCTCTTAACGAGAGGCCTCTCTGAGTGCAGACCTCAAGAAAACACAAGATGCTACACACATCTGCAATCCCAAAACTAGTGCTCTGTATAAGGAAGAAACATGAGTCCAAACAAAGAAACAAGAGGTCCGTGAAATACGCCCATTTCAATGTTCACAGATATTTAAGTATATAATATCCATGGTTAGAATATAGTGGTTCATTTCAAAATGTGTCTGCAGCTACACAATAATTATATGTTCAAAAATCTGAAAGACATAGCATATCACTAAATTGGATATATCCACAAAATTAAAAATAGTACATTTATGTGTCTGCAACTTGAAACACTGAAAGGCAAATCCTGAAACTTTAGTGAATATGTAGTGTGCAAATGCCGAGATACAACTGCGGTGTCGGTCACGATTATAGTATTAGGTCCAGCTTCAATTATACATCTCAACAAGATTGTATGAAAGTTGGGCAAAATCCAAGAAACAGTCACAAAAACAATCACTGAGCTGGTGGGGAGGGGTTAAGGATGAAAGTCAAGAACTCTGGGGCTTTGCTAATACTCAGAGTAGTCTTCTCTCCTGGAAGTGTGTGTGT